GAGAGAGAGAGAGAGAGAGAGAGAGAGAGAGAGAGAGAGAGAGAGAGAGAGAGAGACAAGTCTGTCGCCCGGTCTTTCGCAACGTAAAAAGCAAAACGACAAACCGGTGAAAAGTAGCGAGATTTCTAAAGCCCGTAAAAAGACCGGCGATCTCTTTTATCTCGCGATCTCTTCTATATACAGCTGTGTACAGCTCTACTACTAGGTGTCTACTATTTGATTCTCTTCTATTCTTTTCTATTCTTTTTTTCTCTTTTTCGTTTGTTTCTCTATTCTCCGCTTGGACGTCACCTGCGATTCGTACGGCAGGAATGCGATGTTGATCTCTTTGAGGGTTTTGATCTTTTTAGCGGCGAGAGACTTGCAGATTTCATTGAACAGCTCCTCCGGGCATACTGGCCGTGTGCAAGCATGAATGCATTCTGATTATTAGTATGTGCTTGTTCGTGAGATATTATTGAAGGATCAGGGATCGCCGGTGGGGATGGGAGGAGATTTACATCGCGCTAGATTTACGTCGTATCGATTGTTATCCGACTGTGGTTCGCGTGCGATTAGATTTCCACGTATGATTAGAGACCGAAAAGTGAACACAGATAGACGCGTGACGAACAATTGTGTTGTTTCATCTATGTGTGTGTGTGTGTGTGTGTGTGTGTGTGTGTGTGTGTGTGTGTGTGTGTGTGTGTGTGTGTGTGTGTGTGTGTGTGTGTGTGTGTGTGTGTGTGTGTGTGTGTGTGTGTGTGTGTCTTTGTGTGTAGATATGTACGTGTACGTGTATGTGCGTACGATGTATGTACGTGCCCGCCATCACGAAGAAACGCTGAAACATTGTTCTTGTCATAACATTCGTTGCTTTACCTGCTCTTCGTACGGTATGAAAGCGATGTTGATCTCTTTTAGTGTCTTTATGTGCTTAGCTACCAGCGAGTGACACAATTCTTTGAACAACTCGTCGGGGCATGCTGCAAAGAAATATACTGAGTACTTCGAGTTCATCAGGAGTTCTCAATTGAAGAGGGTCGGACCGTTCGAGTGTTAACGTAGTTAATCCCGGGGGTGAATGTCGGACAGAGATTCAATTTCACAGAGCGCGGGCTACCGAGATGACGTGCATGCTGCAAATCGGGAATACAATCGGCGAAGTTACAGTGGCGTTTTCGACCGAAATCTTCAGCGAGGAAGACGAGAAGAATTTCACAAATGCATTCTCGTTGCCGATGTCTCCGTTTTGCAAGGTTTTCCTTATTAAATTATCTATCTCGGCGAATGTGTGTTTTTGGAAATTACGCGAATTGCTCCCCTCGCGAAAGAGACGGATCGTTCGGACTCGTCATCGGGAGTGGAGGATACGCTGATCCTTAGGAATGATACGGTTCAACGGATACCTTCGGTGAAGTATACGTGGGCGATCTTGTAGGTGGTCCTCGTCGGATTACTGAAATCGTCGATCAGCTTCTGCACCGATGAGTTGCACGGCGTGATGAGATAGATCGCCTCCATCGTCGGCAGAGGCTCGCGCTTCTTGTTGATATCCTCAACCAGGGTGATACCCTGGGCGCTGATGTCGTGCATCTTGCAGCACGCCGACACCATTCTCATCGCGAGCTGATCCACCACCAGAATCCGCCATTCTACCCCACCTGTTGTCTTCTTCTTCTGCTTGATCACCTCGTTCATAATCTCTGCAATGCGAGAGAATTCGTGCAGTCAGTGAACGATAAATTCTTCATTGGAATTGCGAATTTAAAAACGTGAGAAACGACGTTCTTGACAAAGTATTACCGATTGGAGCAATTTAACAGAGACTCCAAATTAATAATTTATCTCGAGCGCGATGAAATAAAGATCGAATATAATCGCGACGTAACGGTTGATTTTATATCGTGAAATATTCACGACGTAATTTTTTAAACGCTGCAATTAATGGCACTTCTATAATAAATGGCGAGTCGCTGGATATTTTTCCCCATGGTTATCTACGTTGTGTAATATTCGTATCGCGCTTCAATAGAGAAAGAGTACATATCGAAAAATAAATACATTAGTAATACGTGTTGTGTGTATTCTGATACGAATCCAATCGGCGTTATATTCAGAGGAAAAGGACAATTTTTGCAAAATATAGTAATCATCGAGAGCGAAGAATATCCCAGTGCTTGTTAAATACCGTTTCTCTTTCGCACAGCGCAATTGGGTTGCGTTTGACAAATCGAGAATAAATTCGTCTCTTACAATCGGCTCTCATTCAGGAAATCATGAAAATGAATGAATCTATTCGATGAGGCGAATAACGAAATCGTGGAAACGCTGATCGTGACGCCATTAACAGTAACGTAAGTGAGCATAATTCGCAGTCATTGACAATTAACAGTCGTCGTTAATCATTGACGGCAACATCGTTGACGGGCGGATCGAGAGCAGTTTTGACGTTCTCTAAACGTATATTGATCGTCTTGACGGAGAGATGACGTCACTACGTTCAGGCGCGTATCAACGAGACCGCAAACCCTGTTTCTGACGATTCCGGAAGGCTCTGCAGATTTAGACGGGAAAAAGCCGACCTTTTTGTCTGAATTGTCGATAGTGTTAATGGTATGGAAAAAAGAATGATATTAAGCGGCCGAATTAATCGATTTAGGAAGCTGACACAAATATGTTGAAATTTATATGCTGAAATCATAATAGTTTCTAATCGTGTCGAATTTCTGATACAAAAGATGCTGTTTTTTCTCATCGAATTTTCGGCGATGATGAATGAATTTACATAACAATAACAATCTGGATTAACTTTTTAACGATGATCAACTTTGTCTCACGCAGTTCTCAGTGGTGTATCGACGATACGTGAGATTTCCCAACATCAGCGGTATTAATACGGTATTAACATTGTACTAATTGTTAATTGTACGTAAACGTGAAGACGACGTGCCTATTAATTCTGAGAACTTAATGGAAAATTGATGATTGGTATCTGGTGACAAGTAAAATTCGCGCTCGTGATTAAGATGCATTTTTGACCAGCTTACTGCTTATCTCGGAAAAGTAATCTCGTCGACATGGCTGAAATCACTTCGAGGGAGCAACAGTTACTACGGGGAGAGTGTTGCCACTGAATCACGAGCGATAATGCACAGGCATTTGGTCGCGTTAATAAAGCAAATTTTTCGTTGGCGGCATTGATTGGCGCGTTTCGCGAAAATCATCATCCATCATCGCGGCCACGGATGTGGGAGCACCCGTCGTGTTTTCCGTGTCTCACCGCGACGTTTTCCGTCGTGGTATTCGCGCTTCCTTGAGCTCGAGATCGTCGTCGCGAACGCTGCGAGCCGTAGTAATTTCGGCGAAAGAAGATTCCGACGGCCCGGACATGTGATAATGATACCAGTTCATGTTTACGTGTGACAGTTGACACGCGTGTTAGCCCGAAGCGAGATACGGTTCCTCGTGAGGTCTACGATAATCGTGAGGTCTACGTCGACGTCGAGCCGCGCTCCGAGCTCGTCGCGAGGAAGATCCGCGCGAATCACACGCGTCTCACGGCCGATGTTTGACGTTTCCGTAGTCGCCTGACCGTCGCAGCTGATGAAATCATCGGGGCCGTGTACGCCCAATTTGCAGGAGATTTCTCGACACGACGGCGAGCGACAGGTGCAAGATCAGTGCGGCCGAGACGATCCGCGAGTCGACCGACGACGCTGAGTGACGATGTTTACGGACGAAGACAGAAGCAGTACGAAATTAATGTATTTTTACGCTACTCACTATGACCGACTTGTGCCTTGAGCGCCATTTTGCCAGGACTGACTGCCGCCTCGCTAACCAGATGGCGATACGATCTCCGAATTGCGTCCGGCGGCGGCTGACACTACTTCGATCGGCACCTGCGCATTGCGATCGTCGCTCCGTGTGGCACCGGCTTTTTGTTCCTTCCTGCTACACTTTCTGCACTCCTCCCGTTCTGTCGTCTCCTCTCAACCTCTTGCCAAGCGCCGAACGTGTACCAGCTTCACTGCGAGTACAAGAGGTGTAATGTTGAGTGTTTCAACCGCGGGGTATTTGTTCTTCTTAGTTGCATTGTATTGCACTCCTGGGGGTCAGAGTAAGGTAAAGGTATAAGTCAGCGTTGGGAGAACAGAGATGGAGGATTAGGGGAAAGAAAAAGTACCCCGCAGGGACTATTGGGAAGGGCAGACTATCTATCTTTCTGCGCATGAAATAGACATATAAAAAAGTAATTGAGAAATAAATGTACATTCGGAAAGAGTGAAAGAAAAAGAAGCATTGCGGAGGAGGGAGTATAGAAAGTGCAATTTGATTAACATTTACGACAGTGATTTAAATCTTTAATCTTTACCCAACGATATCGCGACTTGCTTCGATTCTAATGTAATTGCGTGGGAATTTGATACATTGTCACTATCTGGTTCCTAAGGAAAACATATCAATATATTGCACATACACGGCGCGATTAATGACGAACATAAACACTAGATATAAAGTCACGTGCCCCATCTTACACCAATCAGAGACGAAAAGTGTAATATGATGTGTTCAAATTTCTATTTGAATTTGTAAGTTTCACTTCCTAGTCATAAGAGCAACTAAATCTAGGCATCTCTAATAATTATTTTCGTCCGATCAATCGACGAGCACTCGAGTCGCGCAGCGTTATACACGAACTCGTTGTTAAAGCTACGTTTTTATTATTAATTCAGCCGATCGTTCGCGATTGTATTTCGGTACGACTCGAGCCATCAATGAGACACGTAGTATCCAAGTATCGGGAGTGAAAATGTCGAGTCTACCGGTTACCACGGACGAGATTACGCGCGCGTTTGGCTTATCCGTAACGTTATCTGATTACGGTATTTCGCAAGCCCGGTGTGCGCGAGTCGTCTCGATAGCGGTACCATCGCGACGTGAGCAGCCGTACGTTTCCGTAACCGATCCAGGTTCTCCGTAACGCGGTGGCTGCACGGGTGCAGCTCGCGCGGGAGCGAGCCTGACACCGGGCGCGCGATGCGCGAGGTATCGCGATCGAAGCGTCCGATTTGCGCGAGTGACAACGGCCGGCGATTACGCGCGATGAGGCACACGCGGGAGCCGAGAGACGGCGAGCAGCAGCGAGAGCAACGGACCACCTGACAACGAGAGCGAAAGGAGCGAGCGAGAGCGGCCGGCGAGGGTGGGTGGAAGGGAGAGAGGGAGAGAGTGAGCGAGCGAGCGGGCGCGCGCACGCGACAGAGACAACAGGCCGGCGAGGACGCGGGTCGACGGCAGCTCTCAGTTCGAATTTGTTCGCCGTCGTGCGTGCCTCGTGTCCGCGCGAGTGCGTCTTTCTTCCGCGTGTACACAAATCACGTTCATACGTGCGTTCTTTGGTTTAACCGTTCGTTTGTTTGTTCGTTCGTTCGTTTGTTCGTTCGCCGGCCTGGTCGACGTTCAGTTTCTCTCCGAGTCGTGCTGCGTCGCTCTGTGACTTCTCAGAGCATCCGAAAGCGTTCGCGTGTCGTGGACGCGTGACGGACAAGCAGAGTAGAAACAGAGACACAGCACGAAAAAACGCGCGATCGTGTCGCGTCGCGTGTTCGGCACGCGCGAGAGAATGTGTGCCGGCGCGATTGGCAGTATCGTTCCTCAGTGATAATCGGAAGACGTCGAAGGTTTGTGTGATCAGTTGTGCGACCTGTTGGTGTTGGGGGAGAAGCGTCATCGCGACCTGGATTTCGCGTGAGCCACGTTCGCCGCACGAGGGCAAAGATGAAGCTAGAGTATCCCTCCCGCGTCGAGGGCTGGCTCAACGTTTGCGGTGAGTACATATAATGTTTACATGCTCGTAAATGAATGGGAGAAAGAAAGAATGGGAGAGGCGTACGTGCCGCGGCGTCCGGACGAATTTACTTGTACGACTTGTCGTAGACAACGACGTGTCTCTCTTTCTCTCTCTCTTTCACCAGTTGAAGATTGTTAACGCGAGTACTCGGAATTATTGTTTCGAACTTTCGAATAGAGAATAAGAATGCGAATGTGTTATAAAATATATATCTCGAGATGTGATCAATAATTTAGAGAAGTGATTCGTTTCTCGCATAATATGCCATTCGAACAAAAAACAAGTTCTAAGTACAATTAGTGCCGACGTTTACGTATGTATAGTTCGCCAGGGCTTTTCAAAAGTAATCATTGACTCGAAAATGGCGATAACTTTTTCGAAGAAGAGAGACAGAGATAATTTGCATTGTTGACGAGATATTCTCGAGTCACGTCCTCGAAACAATGGTCGAATTGACAGCTCACGTGCACCCTTCGACGGATTAAATTTAATTTGAACTTTTTATAAAAGACTAACGCGAAAAACCAATCAACCGGCGTGGAGGCGCGCAGCATTTTGCAGTGTCGCATGCATTTAATCCCCTCGGGTGCACGTGCGCGGTGTGTGCCACGAGAATGCGCTATTGCTCTCGTTTCGACCTCACACGCGACCTGCACATGCTATTCGTGATATAATGTTAAGTGTGAAATCGCTGCGAGAGAAGATGAAGCCGGAGGTAAGTTTAATTCTTGATCTCAAGATTGACAGAAAACTGTAGAGTAGAAAACGCGTCAGTTGATTTCACTCTTAAGCTTGATCTACAATGTGTTATTTGCTTCCTTTTTCTTTATCTCTTTCTGATTCCAACTTTAAACCTTAAGCCTGATCTACAATATGCGTTTTTTGCGTTCTGTTTCTTGTCTTCTATCTTTTTCTGGTTTAAAGCTTAAGGTTTGAATCAGAAAGGGATAAAGAGAAAGAAGCAGGAAGCAAAGAGCGTATTGTAAATTAGGTTTTAAACTAAAAAAAGACAGAACAAAAAATAGGAAACAAAGAGTATATTGTAGATTAGGCTTTAGGGCCGATTGTTTCAACCTCTTGGTAAGTTAACTGATAGTTAAATCATATGTTTGTCTTTGTTTTCCCTTCAATTTATAGACAGACATATGATTGACTATCAGTTAATTTACTTAGAAGTTGGAAGACTGGCCCTTAATCCGATTTAGCACTATTTTCCCTCGAAGACTATAGTTGTCGTAACTTTTTCCTTTGATCTTCCCTGACTGGACCTGATTGTTTCAACCTCTTGGTAAGTTAACTGATAGTTAAATCATATGTTTGTCTTTGTTTTCCCTTCAATTTATAGACAGACATATGATTGACTATCAGTTAATTTACTTAGAAGTTGGAAGACTGGCCCTTAATCCGATTTGGCAGTATTTTCCCTCGAAGACTATAGTTGTCGTAACTTTTTCCTTTGATCTTCCCTGACTGCAATATTGCAATAAGTGCAGAAAGTGAGAAACGACAGATTTCTCGAGCGAGATTCAATGACTGACAATTCGGATGCAATTCTGTCTTGTTTCGAACGTGCAAAGCGAGGCTATTGACTCCGCAGCTCTCCAAGAGACCTGAAACAAATCACCAATATACCGGGAGCAAAGCAAACGCGATATTGAGTTTGACGGTTATCAATCGCAACGATAGCCGCGACATTACATACTATAGGCGGGTTCGATAAAACTTAATTTGTCGTCGGACCAACGAACGACATTCGACGCGGCCAAGTTTCAATTCCTCTGCGATAAAATTCGATTACACGTCGCTGAGACGCGAAAGCTCGCTTGAAATTTCATACGTACACTCTGAAGGGCGATTAATGCCTTTCAGAAATGCGATCGATACACAACAGCGACAGTGACACGTGTGTTTCCTTCGTTTTCCGGACTACGCGTCCCGTTCACTTAGTTCACGGACAAGGATTGTGAGGAGAGTCAAAGCTCTCCTTTCTCCCCCCTCTGTCTCTCCCGAGGGAACTTTTAATTCGCCGCTCTAGGAAACTAAGAGCATTACAGGAATTTTATATCGGGCACGAAATACACGGCGCACTTTATAAACTGTGTTCTACCGCCGCGTTTCCCTCGTCTCCGCTGGGACTGTCGTCGTAAAAGGCGAGTTTACAGTCGCTCGCTAATTTTTCCAAGTATCGCGCGATCGCGGCGAATAATTCCGTCGAGCAGCTTTTTCCTCGCGCGCACGCCCCGCTCGTGATGGGTTACGCAATCCCGTAACAAAACATAGCAAATAGCGGTAAAGTGTCGGACGTTACGCGATAGCAGTTCTTTCGCTTCTCCGCGCGCATCTCTACGTGTGTTTCTCGGCTCGAGAGACCCGATAAGTGTAATATGTACGCCCGGCTCCTCCCTCGCGCGCGCGGGATTCTCTCCCGTTTCTTGCGGTCTCGTGAAAAAAAGAAATAATAAGAGGGCGGAGAGAAAGAGAGGAAAATGAAAGCAGCGGGAGGGTGAGATTTCTTTCTGCGACGCCTCCCATGTGGGTTCGGCGGGATCTCCTGATGTCGTCGGGGTTTAACGACCTCGCGCTTTTTTCCATCACGGCCCTTCCTCGCCGAAGCAAGAAAGTCCAATTTTTACGAGCAGCTCCGACACGTCGCGCGCGGCGATTTTTTACCTGACCGAAGAAAAATCCTCGATTCAGCCGTTCAACCTGTTCTTTTGTTATCGGAGTCCCTCCCCCTCTCTGGACGACGCGACGCGTGTCCCCGAATATTCCTTCGGCTATATTCGCGTCGGGAAATTCCGGGATTAGAGAAATGCACAACAGTGGGACGCGTTGGTCGGTAGTGTCGACTGAATATGAAATCTTCCGGGGTCTCGGGATGCAGGTGATGTGCGGCAGATCAAACGTAGAAGACAGCCGGTTGGCAGAATTTGAAAATTTCACCTTTCTTGTCTATTCTCGGTCGATCCCGTTAGTTTCAGCCTCAACCCCGAATTTAAAAGTATAATACACCGAGAGAAAAGATACACACAGAAAAATGCAGACTGCACAAATATAAATGTTTTCAAGTATTTCATAAGATTGTGTATCCA